CACCCTCGCACCGTGAGTTCCCCGAGATCTCGGACAGATTTTGGGTTCGTCGCGAAATCTTTCGTCAAGGTCAAGGCTGCCTGCGATACCGATACCGGGACTCAAAGCGAATCCGATGCCGCTCCAGCGAAGGTGATAAATGAAGTGTCTCTGCGCGAAATGCCCACAAATCACACCCGAGTCACAGTCCCCGTTCCGACGAAGTTCAAGTTCGCCTTGAATGCAGAAAAGAAGGCAAAATATTGAATATCAGCTAAAAGCATTTCACAATCCCCAGCGCCGACAAGAATTTGCATGAGCCAGCGATTGGACCTGCAAAACAAATAATGAAATAAAAATTAATGTTTTGATGGAACCGAATGACCGCAGCAATTTGTGAACAATCGCATTAACAGCACTCCCAAACTTACAATGATCTTGACTTTTGAACTTACGATCTTGAAATGGTTGCTCAATTAGCTTAATTCAAAGAAATACAAAAATTAACAAGAAATCGAAAAAATATTGTTTCATTAAGTCGTATAGGCAAATATACGAAATATACCAAATATAAAAATAGCTTTAGAAGAAAAACATTGTATGCTTAAGAAAATGTTGATATTTTAGAGACATAAAATCAGCACTTATCTTAAAAAAAAACTAAAAATATACCATCAAAGCCTTGATGGCTATTTGTTAATTAGCAATCCTGAGCCGCATATGTATCGCTCCTCGGTCCGCGTACATAATATATATACTATATATAAAATTATATTAATTTAACAGGGAGCAAAACTGCGACAGACAGCCAGAAAAAACAAAAGGATAGAGAGAGACAGAATGAAAGAGAGACGAAAAAATTCCTACTTAAGTGCTTTTAATTATCCCAAAGAATTCCTTGGTATTCTGAGTTTGGTATCCTTGTTTGTCATCATCGTCATACTTGGCCTGTCTTGGGCCGGGGTCTTCGGTTTGGGTTTGGGTTTTGGGCTTGGGATCGTTCAGAGCTCTGAGATCCAAGTTCTCTGTTCTCCGGTCTTGGGCCTTAAAATTACAAGCGCGTTTGTATGCCGGCTATTCGGGGTTTTTTCTGTCTGCGGCGGCGATCCAGGTTCAGGTTCAGGTTCGGGTCTGGGTTTGGGTTTGGGACCTCATCCGAGTCCAGGGTTCCACTTCCATTCAGCCATAAAAGGGGAATAGCAAAGCGATATCTTCGGTGGCAGCAACGGGGAATGACAGTGGATCGATGCGTGCGCATATGGGCGATACTACAGCGTTTATATGGCGGCCAATTCATATTGCTGGTGAAAGGGAAAGTCACCGCATCGCATTGGGATGCCCGTGCCCATGCCCATGCCCATCTTCCCATCGCACCCATCGCACCCTCGCACATCCCAAGGAAACCAGTCTGAGTCATTCGTTAAGGGGAACGGAGTGTGTTGGTGGCGATGCGTTTGGGGAATTCGCTGATTTGGTGGCGACATCAACGGGCGGCATCAGTGGCGGCGGCGGGCACACACAGTGCGTACTTCCTGGAAACCTATCTCTGCCAGGTTGAGGTCCCACAATTATGAGCCGCCGTTAGAGCCGGGTTTGCTAACTCTATGCCCCAGCCACCAGATGTCAATGAAGCATGCAACTGCCACCGCCGCTTATCGCGTTTGGAGCTTTGGCTTTCTCAAGAGAAATGCCAGTGGTTTGGGCTCGAGGATCGAGGATCGCCTGTGTGCTGGAGATCAAGTTGATTGAAGTGCCTTTCGAAACGGAATACAAACATGCGGAGTAGAACGAAAGCCTCTGCCGTAGGAAGTGCAAACACACTGTGAAGGGATGCTACGAAAATATTGTCTTTGGTCTCCCAAAAGGGTCCTTCCATCGCCCTAAAACTGCAAAAATGAACAACGTGGCCGGCACTTCATTGGCCAGAAACACAGGCCAGAGCCAAAAACCAACACACTTGGTGCTCAACACGAGGATGCAGCATGGATGTGGAGGACTGCAGCCAGAGGACGAGGATCGAGAATGGATGGCGGATGGATGGGCCCCCAGCCAAGATGTGCCAAGTCAGCGTGATCTGCGCAAAGTGACGAGTTTTTAATGAATTTGTTTAACTCAGGTCAGGCCCTGGCACCTAGTACTAAGCCACAGACCCTGAGTCTGGCTACAAATCTGATTCTGACCCGAAACAGTGGCTTCATTTGCATAACATTTTGGCCTATTACATTTATGGTTTAAAATGTGAAATATATCGTCTTTTTGTCAACAAATGAAAGTAGTACTAGGAATGCTTATTTGCAATTTCATTCAGTGTCAGTCTTGTGTAGAATCTAATAACCCTGGAACCACTGTGCCCTGCCGTCTGCGGAGATGCTTGAACAAACCCTATCCAAGTTGACGGCGCGACAGTCGAGGTCGCAGGCACAGTCCGTGGCAAGTGGCGATGATGGGGATGTGGCTGTGGATATGGATGTGACTGCGACTGCGACTGTGACTATGGCTCTGGATGATGCGGTTGATGCCGAGCTCAAGTGCGGCTGGGACTAGGACCTGTGTGGATGGAGGCGCTGACGGCCCGTGACGATATCCCAGGGCGAGGTGCCAGGAGATACTGCAGATATTGCAGATCTGGGTGCAGTGAGTGAGTTCCTGCCTCTTGAGGTCGTCCAAGTCGTCATCGTCAGCGACGACGCCAGCGTCTGGGTCTAGGATGAGTGGTCTGGAATCTAGCAGAGCAAACAAAGGCAGCTAACACTCGAGTTCCATCTAGTTTCCGATTGTCCAGTCCAGGGAGCGAACTCAGGCGGTGGGGTACCAGCCCGTGTCTCATGTCCTTCACAGTTCACTTTCGTTGACCACAAGGCGACGTCCAACGCTTTTTTACTTCATTTTTCCGATGGCTGCTCTCTGTTTGCTCCTCTTGTGTTCAACAAAATGTTCCAAATTGTTGCGCACTGCAAGCATCCGAGGAATTTGCGCTTAACAAACTTCGCCAAATGCTTTCCGTTTCAGTTTCAGCACCGGGCAAAAATTTATTTGATTTAATGTTGTCATATGTAAAAAAAATACTTTTAATATATAATCTCAACGCATTATAATTTAATGAGGGCCACATACCACATTCAATAATATGTTTTCACTCTCTGCTCACCTCTGACCGATTCATTTTTCATTTCCAAACCGTAAACTCGACCTAAAATTAATTTTGGTTTCAGTGTGTTTCCCCGTTTCTTTAGTTTATTTTTTGGAGGGTCTTTGGCTGTTCGTTTCGCCTGAAATTTATACGCAGCCTGCAAATAATTAAAACCAGAGCTGTGCCGCCGCAAAGTGTCTCTTGCGTGCGCATGTGTGTGTTTCCCACATCCAATGACTTAGGCAACGAACTTGGCCGGGGCAGCCATCAGCAGGCAATCAGAGAAGACAGGGCACAGTTATACGGTCGGTTCATAATAGATCATTTTTCAAAGAGTTCAGCTCTCTGTCAGGTATTTGTTTAATTCGATTAACCTCTGGGTTCGGCGCTGGCTACGAAATAACTATAACGCGACCACCAGCGGTTCGTTGGTTCCCACCGTATTGGCAAGAGCCAGTTGGAAATGAAATCTATAAAACAAAGCTCCAACGAGTTCCAATTTATCATCAAAACAGACATTAATTTTACACACATCCAATGAAAAGAGCTGAGCTGAGCTGAGCCCAGCCACCCGGTTGTTTTCATGCCTCGAAACGAGCCACAAAAATTAATGTTAATTAATTTGACTTAAACTGACGATTTCAACAGACACATTACTGCGGGGCATTTGGCAAATAAAAAGCCACGAAAATAGCGACAAGTCAAAATGGAGCCGAGTCGACTTTTAGCGGCGAAATTCCCAATTGATGGCGCACAACTGATAATGTTCGATTCCCAAACAAAATCCACCTTAAAAGCTTTTTCAAAAAGACATCAAATTCGATTGGCGCATAATTAACTTGTGCATTGTGCGGTTCCGAATGGAAAATTCATCCATGGGTTTTTATGCTTTGTTTGCTGGCGAATAACACCGCCGAATTCTGGTTCGATCAGTGCGCCAACACTGCAAATTCAATTAGGCCCGAACATGCTCTCACTTTATTAAATTAAACTGCAACCGAAAATCGTGAGCCCAATTCTGAGTCAAAACCAGGTTGTATCTTTTACCTGTTTACTCACTCTCTCTCTCTCTCCTTCTCTCCCGTGCGCGCTCTCTCTCTCTCTCACGCAGACACTGAAGAATGCAGCGGGCTCAAGCTGTTGTTATCTTCGTTCTTCGAGGCCGTAGCCTCGTCTTCCCGATTCTCCCGACTCTTCGGAGCGAAGTCTTCTCAGATCGCGACTCTGTCCTCAGGCCGGAGTAGAAATTCTCTAAGCACGCTGTCAAGTTATGTCTACATTCCTTGATCATATTTTTTCCAACTGTTTTCATACCTCCTATGTGCGGCAGTAAGGGGTATATGGATTTCGGATACAAATAACCAGTCAATATTGATTTAAATATTTATTTAGCATATCAATACAGGGCGTTTTAGAGTCTCCTCAAATTTATAATAGTCGTGCCCTCTAGATAGTCAATAATTATAATTTTCTTGTCACTCTAAAAGCGTTTCGTATCAGTTTTATGGCCCACTGTTAGTACTAATGGGCTTTTAGCTTTAAAATATAAGTTTCTGGTCGTAAGCAATATAAAGCTGATCTCTAAAAGTGTCAAGTTAATCAGAGGAAATGATATTGATATAGGCAGCTTAAGTGTAGATATTTAGGCAAGCTGATATCGGTTTACTCTCTGCGAAATATATTTTGACTTCTTTATCTAAGGATCTAGAATATTAGTGGATATCGTAGTGTCGATTCCTTAAGTATCGCATTCCTACTTCAGTTCTTCTCTTCTTTCTGCCATCGTTCTTTTGGATGGTTCGCTCCTTGGGTATTTCGTTTGTCTCTGAAATACTCTCCCTTCTCCGATTTGTCTCCTCCGAATAATGATGGTAATCCTGAGGGGTCCGTTTTCCTCTCTATTTCTCACACGTTGGTCCAGAAATCCAAAACGTCTTAAGTCAGCAGGAAAGATATATGTCCGTTCTCTAAAATACTTAAATTGGTGACTCCTCAACTACTTATATTCAAACCCATTGAAACGAAATAAGATAACGTTTCACACTGGAGACAATCTCACATTTGATATATTTCGCCCATCTATCAGTAATAATAGCAGTTTTTGTTTAGGGTAACTTTTTGAATGTAACAAACAAAATCGATTGGAAATTTCTGCAACTTTTTGTTTATCCCTCGCATATTCCTACCTAGCTGACTTTACCGTTCCTATTTACATGCAAATAAAGATGCCCTGACTTACTTTAAAGTGTGTGTTGATTTAACTTACTTATCACGTTTATTCACATTTTACGTTTTTCGGACAGCCATCGAAATGTTGTTTTGATTTCAGGATCCTGCTTTTCCGGGCGGGAGTTCCTTGTAGTGCTCGTGAGCGGTTTATCGTAACCCTTTCCTGGCTCCTCGTACTCGTACTGCCACCTCTTTAAGGCAAATTCTAGTTTCTTAATGTGGCGCAGCAAATGTGCCGCTTTGAGCATTAAAATCAACAGAGGCACTCTAAAAAGCCTCCCACAGAATGCGATCTGTCTCTTTCTCTCTCTCTCTCTATCTCTCTCCTCTCTCTCTCTCCTTCTCTAAACCACGAAGATTTCGTCGCTCAGGTAAATTGAGTGAAAATCCAGTGTGTAAGTATACATGAGTTTCTTCATGGCCATGTCAAATAATGCGCACGTGTGCTTTGATTGGTAATACGAGTAGATGGATTCAACTGAATGGGTTTCGATAATTTCGGGTGCAATCTGATTGAATTGAAATTGCCCATTAAGTTCCATTGCAAATACTCTGTGGAACAAAACAGTCGTTCCAGACTTTAGTTCGTAAAATGTGTTGCAGATACTACATCTCTTGGGCTTTAGCTCTATTTATGGCTATTTCACTTGCCGGCGGGCAACCAAAAAAGGTATTATCATGTGAATTATACCAATTCTTACTTGTATATAGTTTTAAAGCATAGTTTGTTATTATAATAGTATTTTATTTTGTTATGTTATTTTTATGCATGTTTTATTTTCCCTTTCTACAGCTCATTATATTGAACACCATAGAATGTGTGGCCAAAAACAATGTCTTTACAAAGGTTGTGTGTCAGCTGTATTCGCGAATGGAATTTAATGCCTTTGCGACCCTTGGCGAAAAGAAGGATGCTCACAAAGTGTTGGGAATTTGCGACGTTGAACTCTACTCACATGGTCAGAAAAAAATAACAAGAGTAAAAAATATGAAACTGGACTTTTGTCAGCTGAATAAGTATACCGAAAAGCACTCGATATTGGGAACATACTACCAAGCACTTCGCAGATCTGTAGTTGGTTTTCCCAAAAAGTGTCCCTTTAAAAAGGTGTGAGCTTTATTCGATCTTAAGCGCCTTTTATTTATCTTATTTATTTGCTTCTAGAACAACACATATTCCGTGAATCGTTTCTATTTGAGCTGGCAAGATACACCGCAATATCTACCCGAAGTGAACTTTACTTTTAGGGGAAAGATTTATGTGAACGATGAGTTAGGAATCGAGGCCAAGGTGGTTGGGGGCTTTACAAAAGTTCTCAACGAATCCGACTATTGGAAGCCCCTAAAGGAGCTTGCATAAACTTTTGTTTGGTCGTTAAACAAGCAACAGTCAAAATAATATAAAAATTAATGTATTTAAAACCTATAATATAATCTATATACTTAATCGTTTATTACGTGTTGAGAACAACATAATCTTCGCACATTCCCTGTAATTGACTTTGTTGAGACACACCCAAACTTAATAATTAAAGTCGGATAAAATAAAACACCTGGTTTCGGGCTTAGAACTATTTTGTTATTTATTGCCAGAGAGGGAGTGAGAGAGAGAGAGTGAGAGAGAGAGAGTACATGTAGACAGAGCGCAGTGGCTTTCACTCAACTCAAACTCAAAACCGGCAAGACTCGCAGGATCCGGACTAAGACCACAAGAGAGAGATAGAGAGCGACTTGTGAGATTCAGACCGACTCGGCCGCGTGTCTTTAACTAAGCCCGGCGAGAGCCGCTCGTCGACCAGTCTGTCAGCGAATCTCGAAGCGAGCGGTACGCAGGCGCGCAGTCGCACATCCGTCAGCATAGCAAACGCCAGATACAACAGCTCCAGCTGCGATTCAGATTCACATTCAGATACAGTGCGACAATCTAAACACGCGTTCGCGAAACGGGACGCGAGGCAAGGAGTGAATTCATATGGACAGCGAAATAAATAAAGCGGAGGCATAAAAATTCCTCACATCGCTCGGCGCGCAGCGACGAAGATCGAATGCGGACAAAAAGGCTGAAATACAGCGAGGCCAGCCAAATAAAAGCAATTCGCAGCCAAGTCGAAGGTGCTGCGAGTGGAGTGGCCAAGGTGCGAGACAAGAAATTAAATTGATAAAGCCTAAAAGCGGAGCCTAGGACTTTGTCCTCTCCCTCGGCCCCAACAAACAAACAAACAAACCAAGCAACACACACACAAACTTGTCGCGTTGTTTGCTCCGCGCGGCAATTATCGGGCGAATATCGGGAATCTGGGAATTCGAGTGCGAAGCAACCCCACCAGAGTGTTAAAGTGTGTGCCAATGTGTGGCAGTGTGCGTGTGTGTGCATATAGTGTGTGTATCGCTTAGCTGGTGTGGCAAATAGCTCAGAGCCACGAAATTGCTTTTATCGGCGCACCACATCGCTCCGCCAACTGCTCAAGTCCAGAAATTAAAAACAAAAAGAGAAACTGTCCGTTTGGCCGAAGGGCCAGCTAGCCATCTCGCAAAATATTAGCCCGCCGGGCTCACAACGCCAGCAAACAAACAAACAAACGGCCAGCACAGAAATGTATAATAAAAAATTACAGCAAGTGATCGTGCAGAAAATAGATCGATAAACCCAAACCCCAAACCCCAAACCCCCAAACCCAAAACGAACTCGAACCCGAAAAAAAGTCGGAAAAAAAGGCGAAAAGCGACGCGGTCCAGCGGAGAGTATAAAAATAAATAAACGAGCGACGATCAGCGAGCGATCAAGGAGCCAAAGCAGGAGGAGCACGTTTCTGGGTTTTTGTTTCAATTTCAATTGTGGAAATCGTAGAGGAAAAATTCGAACCGGTCTCCGCCGAGTCGCCAACGAGGAGCGGAGGACGAAGCCAGCAGCCGAGAACGAACCACTGATATTTATTAAACAAAGACAGAAATTAATTTCACGACTTTGTGAGGCACCACAGCAATACAGCTCCAACAGCCCCCTCGATTCCACCGCCGCCCCCCATGAGCGGCTTGAACTTTGAGCCTCAGGTCTGGGCTTCCACAGGGAACTAGGGATCGGGATCGGGATCGGGATCTTCGGCCCGCCGGCAAAATGTACGACATCAAGCGCCTGGAAGCGGGACAACAGAAACTACAGCAAGCACAGCAACCACTGGGCCTTGACCTGAGCGGCCAGCAACATCAACTCACCTGCAGCGTGATCACAGCGCCCGAACACCGGGCTAATCCCAGTCCCAGCTCCAATTTCCAATCCAATCCCAGCGAGGCCACCCACATGACTCTGTTGACGCTGCGCCGGCGCCGTTCGCTGCAGCGACGCGCCTGCCTCCTGAGCATCCTCGCCGCCTTCGTCTTCGGCATGGCACTGGGCGTGGTTGTGCCCATGTTCGGCCTGCCCCGCCACCAGGAATCCTTGCCAGATCTGTCGGACGAGCAGATGCAGATGCAGATGGTTGCCGTGGAGCCGCTGAGCAGCTACCGCGTGGAGTTCATCAAGGAGACGGACGAGCTGAGTGCCGAGCAGGTATTCCGCAATGCCTTTCATCTGGAGCAGGACAAGGATGCTCCAGACTCGATGGTGGTGAAGAAACTGGACACCAACGACGGCAGCATTAAGGAGTTCCACGTGCAGCGCACTGCCAGCGGCCGATATCGCAAGGGTCCGGAGAGGAGGCTGTCCAAGAATATGCCAGAAAGGGCTCAGCCACAGGAGACTCTTCGTTCTCCGGCGACCGCGTCCACGAATCCTACCAGCGAGCGCCAGGCGGGTCTCATTGAGGAGGACGTCTATTGGGGTCCCACTGTGGAGCAGGCTCTGCCCAAGGGATTCGCCGCCAAGGATCAAGTCTCGTGGGAACGCTTCGTGGGAGAGCAAGGCCGAGTTGTTCGACTGGAGCAGGGATGCGGAAGGATGCAGAACCGCTTGGTGATCTTTGCGGATGGAACTCGGGCCTGTGCCCGCTACCGCCAGAATACGGATCAGATTCAGGGCGAGATATTCAGCTACTACTTGGGCCAGCTCTTGAACATCAGCAATCTGGCCCCGAGTGCCGCCACCGTGGTGGACACCAGTACGCCCAATTGGGCCGCTGCCCTCGGCGACATTACACAGGCGCAGTGGAAGGAGCGCCGACCAGTGGTGCTGACCCGCTGGCTGCCCGATCTGGAGCCGGCTGGGATACCACAGCCCTTCCAGCCGCTGGAGCGGCATCTCAACAAGCACGACGTCTGGAACCTGACGCGGCACATGCAATCCGAAAGGCAGGCGCAGGCGCAGTCGCAGCCACAGCCGCACGGATTACTCAAGCGGTTGGGGGCTGCCAATTCGGCCGGCTCCGCTCATCAATCAAACGCGATTGAGGAGACAGGAACAGGAACCGAAACGGCCAACGGAGCGCTGGTGCAGCGACTAATTGAATTGGCACAATGGTCCGATTTAATCGTCTTCGATTACCTGATCGCGAACCTCGATCGGGTGGTTAATAACCTGTACAACTTTCAATGGAACGCCGACATTATGGCCGCGCCGGCGCACAACCTTGCCCGCCAGTCCGCCTCGCAGCTGCTCGTCTTCCTGGACAACGAAAGCGGCCTGCTGCACGGCTACCGGCTGCTAAAGAAGTACGAGGCGTACCACAGCCTCCTGCTGGACAACCTGTGCGTCTTCCGGCGGCCCACAATCGACGCCCTGCGACGTTTGCGGGCGGCGGGTGCCGGTCGTCGGCTGCGTGACCTCTTCGAGCGGACGACCAGCGCCGGAGTGCGGGATGTGCTACCCTCCCTGCCGGACAAGTCCGTGAAAATCCTGGTGGAGCGCATCGATCGGGTGCTGGGTCAGGTGCAGAAGTGCCAGGGCAGCTAATGAATCGATAGCATCAGCACTTGCCCCCAACACGACTGATAAGCTGTAAATACCGAAGCAGCAGTGGATGCACCTTCACCTGGATTGCGATTGCAGTAGTCAGGGGGTTAGTGGCTTGGGAGGGGTTATATTAACAAAGGGGTTCTAGAAAATTGTTATCTTATAAAATGAAGCTGCAAAATTGTAACCATTGGGAGTCCTTGAAAGCATTTGCGATTAGCCACTGACCCCAGGAGATCCGAGTATTAAGGGGTGATCCACTAAAATACCTAACTTGTAAATGCCAGACTCTATCCATGAGTATTAAGCTTACCTATCAGTAAATGTATCTGTATAAACTAAGCCTAGCTAGCGTTAACAATGTGTGTGATATTTGTCTAAGGAACCAGACTAAGTAGATTTCATTTTACCTTTACAACCAATAAACCACAAATATACCGAACGAAATGCGCCAGTCGAATGTCACTTTGAAATATGGAAGAGCAGCCAACAGATGCAGATGCAGATGCAGATGCGGATACACGAGTATCTGGCTATCTGAGCACGCCTGCGCCTGTGAGAACTTACATAGTCATGACAATAAATTGTCATTGATCTTTTTTGCAGGTGAGATGGAGTCGGAGATGGAGATGGAACTTGCCACATAATGCAGGCTCCACTTCCAGATGCACACACACACACATGTGCATGGCCAGCGAATGGAGTTGGGGACTGAATCTTGTGCTGCTTTTCATAATATCTTCATAAGCATTTGAGAGCCGCCTCTCTCACTTCGCTGGCTCTTGGTTCTCCCGATCCCAAGATTCTCGAGTGCAGAAAGATGAAGCCCCGCCAGAGCCAGAGCCAGAGCCAGTTCCAGATACTTTCCACACACACTCTCTCACACACAGACACACAGGCGATCGGGGCCTGAGATACACGCTCTTGTGGATACAACGTCTCCATCGAACCCGAACCCCCCTGCCTGCCCACCGCCGCCCCTGTCTGACTTTAAGATTTAAGATCGCTGCTCATTAAGTGCGTCCGCGTGTCTCAGCGACAAGATGCTGGGAATCTCTTGCCTCCCTGTCGCACGTTTTGCATCTGATTTCGCTGCGTATATTTTATTGGACACCAGAGTAGTTCACGTAAATAAAAATGAAATGAACCAAGTGGGGCTCCGGCAAGGAGTTGCTCTTGGCCATGGCCATGGCCATGGCAATGGCGATGGCGATGGCCATCCGCCACTCGGCGGATAGTTATCCCCGTGTGCTAACTACCAAAAAATGTGGCTCAGCCGAGAGTTAATCAACTCACGCTTCAGCTGAGCGCAGATATTTTGATAACCCGTTTCGGTCGCGCCAGATAAAGTATCTCCAGCAGAGTGAAAGAGCGCAGCGTTCGGCTAGTTTAATAAA